GCAGCATATTATCCGGCACCTGTACTGCAGGCTAACTTTGACTTGTTTTGTTCCTAGACCTCATTTCCAAAAGTATGTTCAATGGGTATTAAGTGAGGGAAGGGGGTAATTTGCTTATGTAAATTTGGAAAATGTGAGGCAGTCTCAACTAAGATTACTCACTGTGACACCTGTATGAGCCTTTAGTTTATGGCATTCATGAAGGGACTGTCACACGACTTTCCCAAACATCTTACCACAGGATCTCTCTGTGACTCTTCTATCTGGACTAACAAGCTGGAAACCAGTGGCTTTGTCAGGAACTAGTCACAAAGACATTAAAGACAGAACTGACATGGTGAAAATTCTGACGGGGAAAATAGTATTTTGGCAGTAGGTAGAAAAGAATGAGATTCACCTTCAAAGAAGAAATTGGGAAGAGAGGTCGTAAAGTTACCTGAATAATGGAGATGAATAATTCTATTTTGAGATAAAAACTAGTGGAGTACAGGAGTGTATCCAAGGGCTGCTTAGAGATCAACTAAAGAGTTACAAAGAAAGGAAATAAAGACAGGAAATGAACACTTTCATTGTAATTTGTACACAGGTGAGAGCACAGTCAAGATGAGTTATCAGAAAGAGGCAAAAAAGAAAGGACAAAAGATTTATACTATTAACTGAAACATTTATCTTTATTTTCTTGGAGTTGTGAGATAAAAGATGGGCAAACCGAGATGTCAGAATAATTTAGTCCTAATGAAGTAGGGCATTTAATAGTGATCTGTGAAAAAGCCTATTGTTTTTGTAAATTAAAAATTTAAGAGAATTGGGCCTCCCCTGGTGGTGCAACGGTTGAGTGCTGGGCTGAGAAGCTGCCTGCAGCCTCTGCAGCACTGGTTCCATCCCCTGCCGGCTGGTAAGGGTCCCACATGGTGCAACAGATCTCTCCTGCTGCGTTCGCTGCTCCCCTCAGCAGTGTATTTCGTCAGTCTGCCTGTTCTGCTCCCTGCTCTGGCTCTGGTGAATTCTCTCACCCTCCCGCGCTTCTGACTGTAATGAGTGCTTGTATAAATAAATAAACAAATCTTTAAAAAAATAATTTCAGAGAATTTTCACAAATCAAATCTTATCATAATGTGAGAATGAACAAACATTTGGTGGCTGTGTGATGATTGGTAAGAACACAAACATGGTAAGATGGAAACTTCATGAAAAACAGACAAGATATTGATTGACTCTACCTCAGGGAGATGAGGTTATCGGGGACCTGGAAGCATGGATCAGATGAGATTGTGCTTATATGTGGATAAGTTAATCATGGTAAATAGCAATTATGTCTTTTTCTCAGGTGACATGGGAAATAGACAATGGAATTGTCAGTGGCAGAGAAACTGAAAAGTGAACAAAAAATGAAAAACTTGCCAAGAAGTATGTGTGATCCATTTGAGGGTTAGAGAGTATATTCATGGTCTCTTGCTGTATAACAAACTGCCAACCACATTTATTTTTTTAAAGATTTATTTATTTATTTACTTATTTATTATGATTTTTTTAAAGATTTATTTTATTTATTTATACAAGCACTGGGTATAGTCAGAAGCGCGGGAGGGTGAGAGAATTCACAAGAGCCAGAGCGGGGAGCAGAGCAGGCAGACTGAAGTACACTGCTGAGGGGAGCAGAGGGCGGCAGGAGAGGTCTGTGCGCCAAGTGGGACCCTCCTCCGGTGGCCGGGGAGCAGCTGGGGATCGAACTGGCCCTGCAGAGGCTGCGGGCAGCTTCGCAACCCAGCGCTCAACCACTGCGCCACAGGGGAGGCCCTAAAGATTTATTTATTGATACATACAAGAGCTGGGGTACAGGCCAGAGGTGTAGGGGGTGAGAAGATTCACCAGAGACAGAGTGGGGAACAGAACAGGCAGATCAATGCCCGCTGAGGGGAGCAGCGGGCAAGTCAGGAGAGGTCTGCTGCGCCATGTGGGTTGTTCCCTGGCCGGCCAGGGGATCGAACTTGTGCTGTAGTGGCTGAAGACAGCTTCATAAGTTGTGTCTTAACCCCTTGCACCACCAGGGAGGCCCATGCCAACCATATTTAAACACTATCTATTCATTAACTCAGGGTTGCACAGGTCAGAAGTGTGTGTGAGCTCCCCATTCAGAGCCCTTTGCTCAGCATCTCATAAAGATACAGTCAAGTTGTCCATCAAAGTTGATGCAGTTGGAAGTTTCCTCTTCCAGGCTTACCTGTATCTTTGGTGGAAATCAGCTGTGCGACTGGGTACCTGATTCCTTGCTGACTCTAAACTGGCTTATTCTGAGCTCTTAGTGGCTCTTGTAGTTCAGTCTCTTGCCACTTGTCTTTTGGCTGGGCCCCTCAGAGCTCTCAGGTTTAATCTTCAACAGGATCCCTCATATCCTATTCACCTGCAAACTCCACCTTCACATATGTCTGACTTCCTTGCTAGCCAGAAAGAAAGGTATGTTTCTAAGAAATTTTTATGATTACATTAGGTCCACCCAGAAAATCTCCCTTTTGATTAATTTAAGGTCAACAGATGAATAACTCTAATTGCATTGGTAAAATTACTTTTTCAATGTAATATAATGTATGTGACAGTGACGTTTTATTCATGCTCTCTGAGGTAGGAAATGGAAGACTTGGGTCTCATTTTATAGTTCTACCCACCACAATTTAAAATATAGTTTCATTTAATTTTCTTACTTAAAATGTGAGTTCATGTGTATTAGATGTTCCTCAAGGGTCACTAAGGTGATGGAGAAGTGGATGAGGCTGTGATAGCTGAGTGGTTAAGGCATTGGACTCAAGAAGAGAAATGTAGATGCCATAATCAACTTTTGAGGAGCCCCTATTAGTTTCATAAGTCACTATCAATATAGAAATCATTTTATGAAAATTAATGTATTCAATTACCTTCAACCAAAACCAAAAATAGTCAAGTTTTCATTTTCATATACTGTTTTTCTATTTTCATGTCTTTGTTCAAAATCATAGAGTTGAGTCATTATTTATACATCATTGGTGTTTATGAGATTGCATCTTTGTGCTGGTCAAGGACCCAGTGAAATATTGTAATAACACATAGGAAAGTAAAGAGGAAATAATGTTGAAATAGTAAAAATGTTGGAAGAGAATAACACATCACCAAAGATTTTGACTTTTGTTGTACTTGTCAGGTAATATTTTAAAAGCTTTGATCTATGTCATAAAATTGCATTCTTGATCAAAATTCTTTTGATTAATATGTTCTAGGTGTTTTAGCAATATTCTAGTAGAATATATAGTAAAGTAGATAATAATCAAAAGCATTAATTTTAATGTGCCAACATCATGCAGAATAATTCACAATTATTTTTTCACACAATGAGAATAATGGTTTATGTATGTTATTGTCCTAATTTTAGATATCTTTTAACTTTCCAAAGACCAATGTCTCACTGTTAGTGTCTAACAGAACCAGGATTCAAAATCTAAGTTTGTTGAACCTCAGAATCCAAACCTTTAATGATTATGTCAAATAGCAAATTATATGCAATTAATACCATTTTTTAATACCATTTCCGTTTTTCAGTGTTTGAATTTATATGCTTTGTTACATACTTGTATTTCCCCTGCAAGAATTAGTATACACATTAACACATTCAACATGGTAAAGAAATTTGAATTTAACATTTCCTAATTTCACTTGACCATGGAAGAAATCTTTGTTTAATATTTGACATCTACTTACACATTTGGGGAAATGATGATAATTTTGATAGGAACCTTAAATTTTGGTAAAAATTTCAAAATTACTGTCAGCGTTATACTGTAGTATAAGTATTTCATGTTTGCTAGGGAAAAAGAAATTTTAAAGAATATAATATTTCAGAATTTGTGATCTAATTTTTTGAATTTTGAAGGCTTTTGAATTATCAATTTCTGCTTTCTTGTATGTGTCCTTTAAATGCCAAACACCTTGTCTTTAAGTTGTGTGTTTAATTAGTGTCTGCTGATCAGTATTATTATTTAGAAGATACTTTAGAAGTAACAACCCTAAAACTTTCATAAAGCACCCTGAAAATTTAATGCCCATTCCGTAGAGGTACATTTCTTTCATAATAAAGCAGTACCCTCTAGTGCTCAAGTCCAGCCGTGTGTTCTCCAAAACTGCCTTAGAGGGTTAAATGTCACATATTGGTTCATTTTACTCAGTCTTAGCTTTAAGTGAAATATTCTATTATTCATAACATTACCTTTTTGAAAATGAGTTCAGGCATTTCCAATATTATTCAAAAATATTACTAGCCCTCCTGTGCTGTAGGGGGAAATGGTTATTCCATCTATTTTGCTCATAAAAGTAAATGAAATACATGAGAATCAAGAACCAAGAAGTTGGATTAAATTTCTTGAGTGATTTTTAGAAATATAAGAAGGATCTAAATCTTTTGTTCTAAGGTTTCTTTCTGTGCAATGTGCAATGGACAATGTATGTCATCCAAGAAAGTTTAAGTAAAGTTACAAATGCATATGTCCAAAATCTAGATGGAGGTTTTTGAATGAATCTTTTCTGAAAGAACAGTGTGGCACTTCTTAAGAAATTTTAGACTCTTGGTTTACAAAACAGCACAATAGTATCAGCCAATATGCTGCAAAGGGAGTTATCTTGTGTTGGACTTAGATTTAGCATGTTTAAACTCTGTTTATTCAGAAACAAAGGAGTCTCTAGTGAAACTATCCATGAGTACTTAGGCCTGATTTCATTTGCTTTCCAAAGCCTTATCCAAAGCTTTCTCACAGAGCTAATATGCACAATGCAGCTCTTTATGGCTGAAGACCTTGCCTATCAATTATTAGTATCTCAGTAGTTTTTATGTTTCTTTTAGACTTGCTTTGAAAAGATGTTTACACTGAAATAGTTGATCCACATGAGAAAATAACTCCAATTTTAACCTGTGTTTTTGAATAGTAGTCTTCGATAATCGGAATGTTCTATTAATAAAGGTTTTTCTTGTGCATATTTAGTTGTTACAGGGGAGGTCACCGAAACCTGATAAGTGGGAACTTCAGGTTGGCAGTGGTGGTGGCGTGGTTGACCAAGTGAGCGGGGACTGTGATGATGAAGATGGTTGTGGGGGATCAGGAAGTGGAGAAGTCAAGAGGACACTCAAAATCACAGACTGTAAGTGTGTGATTCTAGCACTACTATTAACCAATTGATTTTGAAATATATTAAGGATAATTATTTTTTATGCATGTAAAGAGATAATGACAGTGAATTTAGAAGCATGGAAGAGGAATTGGAAATTAAAATGAACCTACTTTTAGCTTCTCAGGACATACATTCTTAGGATATTTATTCTTAACTGGTGGATTTAAATGTAAATGACAATTTCCTGTGAAAATCTAATAGGATCATTAGAGTGGGATAATCCTTAGGACAGGAGATAACTAATATGGTGGGTATTAAAAATGTAGGTAAATAATGTGAAATCAGAATGGGTAACTCCTACATAATCAAATCCCACTACTACGTATATTATCATACTGCTATATGAAGTATATTTTATTAGGTTTTAATTGTAGTCAAATTGCAAAAAAGTACTGATGTGGTTTTTTATGGTGAAAAATTGCTGAATTTAATTCATGAACTTTGTCTTCTGAAAAGTGTTCATTACTTCTTCACTTTGTTTTGATTGTGTGGATTTGAAAACCATTTCTGGTCTCGCTGTCCAGTTACTATCACAAAAGATAGGACAACCAAATAGTAACCAAAAAAAAAAAAATCACTAAATAAATTTACTTCCCTTATGTTCTCATAGAATATGGGAAATATAGGCTCTCCACTCTCCCTTGATATGTACATGCATTTGTCCACATGGGTAAGAGAACCAAAGTGATCAACTAAAAAAGAAATGTGAAAGTTGACTTATCCAGAGCAGCTGGCTTTCAGCTATTTATTTATCGCAGGTCACACCAAAGGCGATCACTATATAAAGTAATCTCCTAGACCTGTGTCCTACTTGGTGACTGGTCTGATAAACTCCCTCTAAATCACAAGGGCTGCTTTGAACCTGTTAGACATGCCCTTCTATGACTTTGGTGGAAGAAGAATTCATTTAATTTCTAGTTCTCTTGTAGTGAATTTAAAACACAACAAATATACAAAGCATCAGTACCACATTCCTCCGAGGATCTTGTTTTACAAGCCAAATATATTAGTTAAAGAGATAGAAGCCAAAAAAAATAAAAATAAAAATGACAGTTAATATAAAGAAATATGCTTTTCTATTGCACACAACAATAAATTAAACATAAAAGGTAAATAGATGAGACTTAGTACGCTGGAACAGTTATTTAACAAAGGACTACAAATCTCCTTGATGTATTAATATAATTTTATAGTGAAAATTAAATATCTTCTGTTCTTGTAGGAGCAGATAAGGATATCCATTCTTATTATTGGTATTAACAGTTTATCAGGTCGGTTTTTCTGGTTTTCTATCTTTGATTATTTAGGCCAACAGAAAAAAGAAGAAAATGAAAAAGTAAAGGTTTTCTTAAAGAATAATTTTATTTAAGGAATTATGAAACTTACCTATGTGAATAATATTCAGTAATTATTCATTTTCTTCCTATCTTGAATATTTATTATATATATATATATCATAATTTCATTGCCATTTGAGTATTAGCCATATTTTAAGGCTTAACAAATATTGTAAAAATATCTAGGTTGAAATTTCACCTGAAGTGTGTGTGTTTATATAGAATTAGCATTTTATAGGGATTTTCACTCCTGAAGTTATTTATAAGCTCAAGAACTCATTAGGTATTAATAGCTAGCTATTTTGGTTTATTTCACAAAGCAAGTGGTGTCAGTGTAGTATATTCAACTAATAATAATTTTCTCATGAAGCTATACTTGTCAAGATAGCAAGAATGAATTTTTATTTCAAAATCTTATTTTCATTTAGTACTGAAATGGACAGGCATGGTACCAATAACTATCCACTGAATTGGGGAGATTTAAGATATAGATGCCTTTCAGCCACTCCAGGCAAACATTTAAAAAAATCCCCATCTACTCTAAGTGGGTTGCCTACTATGTTTCTAAGAGTTGATAGCTGTTGCCTTTCAATTTTTAATAAGTGGTCAGGAAACCATTGTGTATAGCATGCTGAAATAAATAGGGACAGGGAAAGTCTCAAAGGGTAGGTCACATTTCCATTTCTATTAAGTGCTATAATATTTTGCCTGTGTTCGGTTAGATTAATGTATTGGTTAAGCAAGTTAAAACATAGTTTTAGATGGTCTTAATGACTTAAAAATACTGTGCTCTGAAAAATTGACTAGGATGTCAATTGTGTTAAGAATTTATTTATTATAATACCATTGTATCTTTTTTATTGATGTTTGTTGTTTAAAAATACATGTTATTTAATCAAAAATATTTTATTAAAAATAGACATATGTGTTTATTTATAGCTTCATGTGGTTATAAGGAATAATACTAATAGCATAGCCTTTAAATTCAATGATTTTTCTCCATTCATGTAAATGTCAAGTTGATTATATATCTTACTAATCATCATTTGAATTGATTTTCAATTCCTATTTCTGTTCATGTTTATTTCAGGCATCAGAGATAGATGTGCTTCAATGTACTGACTTTTACCCTCTCCAAAATAATGATGTCCCTTTCAGATATCATATTTTCATCACCAATGGTATAAAATAATTCAGCAAACAGCCTTTCGAACTATATTTATATCCCTCTGTATGCTACTATTAAACAATAATGGATATATCTAATATAAAGCACCTATATGAAGTAGTGTTCACTCTTAGGAAAATGAAAATGTTTCCCTGTTTCGGTAGAGTGGTTTAAAAAATCCCAATATGATGACAACTTATTCTATATTTTGTTGTATATAGAACATTTGGGCTCACTTATATAGATATGGGTATTTCACTAATAACCTGGAATTGCAGCAAAGAAATAGCTTTGAACTTTACCTATATCTCACCTCTGATTCCTCCCATCCTTTCAAAGAATAACTGATGAAGGTTATAAATACCAACAAAAAAAATGCAAGTTCTGTTCTTTTAGCCGTGAAGAACCAACCAACCTACTCTCACTACCATCTTGCTTTATAAACTATTGTTCTACTAGCCCCAAATTCTGATAGTTTAAAAGTTGCAAAACAAACCAAAGTATTAGTAAAGACTTGTTGTAGCAAAACTATTCCAGGTGTAGTTTTTAAAATTTTCAGTAACATCACTTTCAATTCATATCAATATTATAAATCAATAGCAAAAACTCTGTTCAAAAAATATATGCGGCCCATGATCTAATTTATTTTGCTAGGGTAGTGCATAGTAATCATCTCAGGTGAAATGAATTTGATCATAAGTTGATTCAAATACCAGACTTTCAAAAATAGTAGGGTTATTTTAAGTCTGCAAACTTCCTGAGATAATTAATCTCTGTTTATTGTCATATTCATCATTGCTCATACAATATTATGTTGCATGTTTAACAGTTTTGAAAAATAATTTTGCTCTATGTTAAAATTTAATGTGTGTTCAAATGACTTTTTTCTCAATACTGTTCTCATTATGCCTGTTCAGATCAGGCATGAGGCTTGCTCATCTAGATGTGTGTACTAGAGTAGCAGTGTGGATTCTGCTCCCTGGCCCTCCACACTTGTTTCTTATCCAGCCAGCCAGTCTGTCTTTGGAAAGATTATTTACCATTAGGTTCTTCTTATCTTATGGGCTACCCTTCCTCTTTCCTTTTATGGGTTCTCATTATTAATCACAAATTCTAAATATGTAAGGATTCCAATATCCTTTTCTTTTCTTTTTTTAAATATTTTATTTTATATAATTCTTACATCATTTTTCATCTTTGTACAATGTATGCATTTTCATTTTGGTTATATTCCCCATACAATTACATCCCCCCCCCCATTTTGACTCTAGTTCTTCTCCCTGCCCCTCCCGTATACCCCCCCCCAGTGTGTCTCTGGTTTATAGTTGCTTATTGATTTTGATTATTACTTTACATTGATTAGAAGGGATCATGCTCAGCGAAATAAGTCAGAAAGAAAAGGAAAAATACCAGAAGGTCTCACTCATAGCAGGAATTTAGAAAACCTAAATAAGAGACCAGGAAAAAGACTAATCCAATATCCTTTTCTTAACCTTTATGATTTTTATTCCCAACTGGCTCCTGCTCCACAAACTTATACAAAAATAATAATATGGTGCCCATCACTGATAACAATGGGCGCTGTAAGCAATTCCCTATGTATTGTCTTTTTTTTTTCAATTTTTATTTATTTATTTTTGCATAGAAGAACTGGGAGGTGCAGGGAGTGAGGTGAAGGGAGGGAGTGAGAGGATTCGCCAGAGTCAAGTGTGGAGCAGAACAGGTGGATTTACTGAAATACACTAATAAGTAGAGCAGCAGGTGAGACAGGAGAGGTCTGCTGTACCATATGTGGGTTAACTCCCTGGCTGGGGATTGAACTCAGGCCATGGTGGTGATAGGGCTCAGACTTAACCCCTAGGCCACCAGGGTGGCTCCCTATGTATTATCTCTTTAAGACAAATTACTCAAATGAGATTAATTTGGAAACACAAGGCTGATATAATGGAATATTAATTTGCTAAATCTTTTGTTGATCTTCTATAACCTAAAATAAATAGAACTATTGTTTATGTTTTCCTTGAATTTGTCACTAAGTAACTAACTTTATATTGACCTCTATTAAATGCATCCCACTCATGGTCTTAACAGTCATTGTTGGAAGAGAATAGTGCATTCCATGTGCCTAAGAAAATGAAAATTATACTTAGTTAACCACTGAAAAATAAAAGTGGTTGGTTTATTTAATAATGCAAGATTGTAGGATAGATGAAAATTCTTGATTTCATCAAATTGATTTCAGCCATCAATTGCTTTAGCAAGTCATGCTGATTAGATGGAACTTAAAAAAGTACTAGTGGTGTTTCATTTTAAAAATGCAATCTCTTTTCTTTCCCAAACTACTAAAACTATGTTTATTCACAGTGTAAAAATTAATTGTAATTGGCTTATATTATCTGGTTGATGGTTACTTCCCAATATAAATATATCAAACAAATGGTGCAAGCATCGAAGATTTGTTCACA